GCTAGGTTATTAGGATTGGCGTATAGGTCTATGCCCTCTAGAAGCGACAACTTGTCGTCCCCTAACTTAATAAACTAGACATCCTTCGAGGCAACAACCTTGTATTCGTTAGACAAGTAGATTATGTATTTGCTAGAGTCTACTAAGTCCTTCGTATAACTAACTAGTTTGCTAAGCCGTCTACGAGCGTTAAACTTCTTGCTACGAGCTATACTATAGTCGTAGACAATAGCAGTATAGCTATAGGCTCGAAGGTGTTAAAGGCGTAGCTGCTTCCGAGACTAATTAAGCTCCCTAGCTATAATAGTATAGGGGCTAAGACCTTCCAAGTTTCTAGGAGTAATATTAAGGACCTATATAGCAGTAGTAACTGCATACGGCTATAGGGCCTTTAGCAAATCCGTATAGAGCATTATCTTCCGAGCGGTCGTATATACGATATAGTTGCTAACCTTAGCTAGGCTATTCTAAGTAGAAGAATAAGGTGCTGTAACCTATAGTACAATGCCCTAATTACGAGCCTAGCTTAATAGCTAATTTCCGCCGTATTTACCCCCTCTATCGAGGCGGTAGATCGGGATCGAATAGCTAGTCTATATACGGACGTGTATACGATAATCCTTAATAGCTACTATAGCCCCTAACTTTAGTAAGCTAGCATATTCGTATCGATAGGCTAACTTAGCGTATATAAACAACGTAAAGTAGCGCTCTTGCAATAGACTAGGGTTAGTAATAGTAACTATATCTATATAGACAATGTAATAGATCGTAGATAGTCGTACGCGCGGTAGCCGATTGTATTCCTTATATAATATAGCTATTCGATAGGCAATGCAGTTGCGGAAGTCGTTCTTGTTGCTAGTACTAGTAATAACAATCTAACCCTTAGCTTCTATTCGTAATAGCTTGCGGTAATAGATATGGTAGAAGACGTGGTAATTACGTTCGTGGGAGTTCAGCCGCACCACCCTACTCTTCTCGAGGAGGTACCAATCGATGTAGGGACTAGAGGTTAGTATATACAGATAGGGGAGACTATTCTTGCGGTATGTCTAAGCAATAGTAACTTCCGAGCTATTAACAACAGTAAACAGCACGCGCTTGTTATTCCGATAGAAACAGCCCTTATCGGCAAGCTTCTTAGTAGACAGGAGGTTAGCTACGAGACCTAGCATATATAGTGTATCGGACAACTTTATATTACTTATACTACGCTTATTAACAACCTTAGTCTAAGCTATACCAACTATTATAGCGTGCTTCGTATTACTACTAAACCGGATAGGAATGTAACAGCCTTCGTATTTAATAAGTAATAAAGGGTTATTAACTATATGTATACTAGTACCTAAGTCGACAACCTAATTAGTAGTACGAGTATTAGCAGTAAGAGCCGTAGACACCTAGTCGCTAATAGTAACTATAGTGTTTATAGTAAAGGCGTAATTGTCGCTTAGGCCTAATAACACCCCCGGGGTAGCATTAGCCGTATATAGCCCCTAAGCACTATTCTAACTAGATAGCGGTTGCTACTATTGTTAAGCAGTTAGTCTACGCTGCTGCTGTTACTGCACCCCCTTCTTCTTAGCCTTCTACTGTTTACGACGCAGTCGGTCTTCCTCCTTTAGATAAGGGTATTTAGTATAGCAGCGGTTAGAAGGGTAAGTGCCTTAATAGTATAAGCACTTCTCGCGATTTTAACTATTCTAGTTGTTTCTACTACGACTACGACTATTGTTGCTATTTCCGCGGCCTCTACGACCGCTACGGTTCGAGTTACCTCGACCGCTATTATTATTGCTATTGCTACCTTGCTATTATAGTTAGCGCTAAAGACTAAAGAAGCTATTATATTAGGCCTAGTTCAGTTAAGCTACATTCTTATTAAGCAACGCGCTAATAATATTGTTAAGTGTGTTATCGTTAATAGTGTATTCTAAGGCGCGCATCTGCTTACAGCGTATCTATACGAATGCCTCGTAGAATAGTGCGATCTGTATAATAAACATATAGACAGCCTAGTATTAGCTAATAGCTAATTTAGTATCCTTTAAGGCACTAAGCTTCTTCTTGTACTTATTGCAGAACTTCTTAATATCCTTGCTATCGTACCGAAGGGTAATATATTCCTAGTAGAGCATAAATTTAGTAGACCTACCTTTACTAGTATATTTCTTCTTAAGGAAGTCCTATACTTCCTAGGATATAGACAGACTAAGTAGTAACTATTAAATGTTACTAATATAATTAGCAAAGATCTAGGTACGTACTGTTTAATCTTTAGAGTCCTATTTATCTTAGCGGTCTTTAAACTCTTTAGAAGACTTACTAGTAGCCTTAGCAAGGGGTCGCTAGCGGGTGCCTTGCATATAGCGCTAAACCGACATACCTTTAAGGGCGCCTTTAGCGGCATATAACTATAATAGGTAGTTCTCTTTATTCTTTAGCTTAGGAATATTGCTTATATAAGCGCTAGATATTGTTATAAAGGGAGCTATTACGGACAGCGACGGCGATATAGAAATAAGACTATAGACTTGTCTTAAGGGGCGGCCGACAGGCGCGCCTACGTTCTAGTATAGCGGACAGCTAATACTAGTATAGCGGACAGCTAATACTAATAGTAGCCGACTCGAGTCTAGTACCTACTAGAATACTCGAGAGCGGCGAAGGGTAGCGGCGACGATATTAGTATCGGCGCAAATATTAGTAACGAGCGCTAGCTACGCAGCAGTCGGAGTAACTATTAGAATACATAGTAAACGTATTATACGCGTTAGAAACGCAGGGGGCTTATAACTACTTAATATAAACTGTAATGTATTTAGAAGAGGGCTAATCTATAGGAAGCCCGAAAGATAAAGTGCGCAGTTTCAGCCTTAGGCATTATACACGTAATACTACATATACTACACACTTTAAGTATATAGTTAAGAGACAACTCTATATCGCTACCTAGTCGAAGCCTATATCGTTATAGAGAAGCCGGAAATAGTCTAAGAAGTAGGTTATCTTAGCGTACTTATCGCTAAATAGGGCTAGGAGCTATACCGTCTATTCCTAATCGCGAGTAGTACTCTCTAAGAGTAAGGCGACGCTAATACTATAGCCGAATATCGTATCGAATTAATACTAGATCTCGAGGACCTTTATAGCCGCCTTATCGGCGACGTCGTTATAGAAAAGGCTAGTAGCGATATAAAACACCTTAAGAGGCTTCGCGATAGTCGATCCTTCTACTAGCTATAATTCGAATATCTACCTAAGATCTAGCTTCCGAGGGACGATACTAAACGAAGGAAATAAGCCGAACTGCCGTAGATCGAGAATCCTCTATAGTAGGCTAAGTAATAGCGAGTCTTGCTATATCTTCGTAAAGAAAACTACCGACTCTTACGGTAATTCCTACTAAGTACCGTAAACCTCCTTATACTAGAATTGTTAGCTGCTATATCGGAGTACGACCGCTACCGTACTACTTACTATAGCTTTCTATACCTCGGACCCTTTAAGACTATAATCTTAAGCGTACGTCTTCGTAAGTATTATAGTAGGCCTTAAGAGACTACGATAGGTAGTTAGTAGCGGGCCCTCGTTAGATCTATACTAGTACGACGCGAATAAGTACCCGGCGGCTAGAGGAGTTAGATCGAGGTCGGTTCTAGTAGAGTCTATAATAGTCGATTGCGATATTAGGTTATTATAGTAGTAATTAATAACCGCGCGCCTACTAAAGTCGTTATATCTCCGGACGTAGGCGCGTTATACGCGGCTACTATAGTCGTATACGCGACGCGCGCCTTCCTTAAGACTTGCGAGCGAAGGATACCGCAATTTTATATAGCTTCTCGAAGGCTATAGAGGTTAATAGAGCTATAATAGCGACTAAGAGGGTCGATAGTATCGTATTTATAAGACCCCGATAGCGGAGCTCGCGATAGTAGGGCCTCGGTACCGGTCGTACGTACTAAATTACGCTTCCCGTAAGGCTACTAGCGCGATCGAGTATACCGCTTCGAGTAAATACCGCCGGATAAGGTATATACGACGAAGACGCCCTTTTCGAGACTACTATCGAAGTTATAGCTCGTCGCGGTATATACTATAACGTCTACGCCCTTCCGAATCGCTAAGGTATTAACGTTCCTCGCGTCTACTAATTAGAGGCCGCGGTTAGCCCGTTTTAAGCCGCACTAAGCCTAAAGGGGCCCTAACTTTTATTAAGTTGTTATATTTTAGATATATACACTACACCCTACCACACTTTCACGATCATACACTAATACCCCTCCAACCCCTTAGCCCGCACAGAATTCCTCAGACTTCGCTGCCACGCAATCCAAGTCCCCACGATACTAAGAGTTGCACAAAGCAGAGTCCCCCCACAAAACATCTGAGCACCGGGCCAGGATTCTGGAAAAATCGCCCCTCCCACCGGCGAACCGATGAGAATCCCCAAAGCCCCTGCGAACATATTAATCCCGAATCTCGTGCCGATAGTCCTCAGATCTTGCGTCATAGAAGCTACGGCCGCGCCTTGCAACGATACAAACGCTCCGGAGAAGAATCCGTAGAGCAAACACCAGATGATAAGACCTGGTGTCGAGTGTTTAATGGCGATCCAAGAGAATGCGAGGATTGTGGCGCAGGCGGTTGTGGTGGTGAGGACTTTGAGGGGGTGGAAGAATTTGTCTGCGATGAGGGAGGGGATGATGCGGCCGGGGATTGAACCGATGTTGAGGAAGATGAGCATCCAGAATTCGAGGTTGAGGGAGTGTTGGGCTGCGAATTGTTCGATGAAGAAGTAGGGGATGTATTGGCCGACGAAGCCGAAGAAGGTTGCTAGGTTCATGATTTGGAAGGGGAGTTCTTTTAGGATTGTCGTGTCGAAGATTTTTCTTCGGGCTGGGGGTTTGGCGCGGGGTTTTATTACTAGGCCTGGATGGAGGAGATTTGAAGATTAGTGAAGGATCATCATGCTTTTTGGGAGCTTTCTTACATGGGATTGCTAGAGTTAGAAGAGAGATGAAGCCAATGATTCGAACTGCCCAGCCAAACCCGATTGAAGGCTGAACGTAGGTGAAGATTATAGGATAGACGATGCCGCCCAGCGAGGAGCCCGATGCTGATATACCCATGGCTAAGGCTCGCTTCTTCGCGAAATACGCAGGCAAAACGCTCGTGGCTGTGATGAAGAGGCTTCCGCCGCCAATTCCGCAGCATATTCCTTGAGCAAGAATGAGCTGATAGTAAGAGGTGCACAGTGAGGTCATCATGGTGCCAAAGACGACGAAAAAGGAGCCGCAGAGTACTAGCAGTCGGGGGTTGCCAATGTCGAAGATCGGACCCCATGATATCGGCGATGCGCATAGGAAAAATGAGGTGAGCGTGCCTATCCAGGCAATGGTTGAATTGGGCGTGCTTGGAAGAAGTTCCTCTTTGTAATATGTTTGGAAGACTCCAAAGGCGTTGATTAAGCCCCTGAAAGTGAAGGGTAGAAGCGTTAGCATCAGTCCTAAGCGAGGAAAAGCGATTATTCGCAGCGAGTGGTTTACTCACCACGTATTGAAGAACAGGAAATAGCCTCCCAGCACTTGAAGCCATGCCGTGGTACCTCCATCTGGCGGAGGACGGCCGGGAGGTCCTGATGGTCGTGCTGCTTCCTTTGTAGGCATTGGATCTATCTGTGGTGCACTGAAGTACTCTTTGCCTCCATGGTGAGCATTCAAAGGAAGTGTGACCGTAGACGCCAATGGTGAGCCGGGAAAAGGTTGATGATCATATGGCGAGGTCGGCGTCTCCGGGCGTGGGAAGCCTGGATGAAATAATGGTGAATTGGGGGTGCTGTCGGCGAGGAAGGCTTCTCGTGTGGGCGAAGGTGCATGGCCGAATCCTCCTTGCGTTGGCGATGCCAACGGGATCTGCTCGTATCGGGTGGAGAATGCATCAGGTCGGTCGTTGACGCCGGGCAAGACTAATCGACGACTGGAGTCTGCAAAGTCGGATGTTCTATAAGGTCTGTTGGCGTCGGAAGTGGTCGGCCGATGGTAGTTGCCATTCCAGTCAGATGCGGCTGAAGGATAACGAGAATGCGAGGGGGGTTCCCGTGAAGGAGAGTGAAAAGAATGGTCGCGCGCATGTGCCATGCTGGGAGAGAATGAATTGTCCTGCGGCGGATGCAAGGCAAGGCGTTGGTAGGAATGGGTTTCCTGGGGTTGGTTCGATGCACGACGAGGTCTGCGGCACGTTGTCACCAAGAGTGCGGATGGCGGAAGAGATGTCGACTCATGGAGTGACTGGCGCTGGCAATGAATAGCAACGCCAAGGACTTGGAAGGCCTCGAATAGTGAGTGGTGAGGGCGGTAGAGCGGCGGGTGGGATGTCGACGGTGTTGGGTCGGAGGTAACAGGCTGGTGGTGTGCCGTACGAAAACAGACTCCTTGGTTAGGGCAGCGACGCGTGCAGACGCTGAACCGATAGTGTCCTGATTTAGAAGCATCGTGTATAGTAGTTCCACGATGCAAGCAAGGTTTCAATGTTAGTGTTGTGGATCATATGCGACGAAATGTATTGGCACGGCGAGTGCGCTCGTCGCCAGCGCCCTGGAATCTGGAGAAGAGGTGCGCGGTCACACTCACACGTACATGATGACACCTTGCTGTGCCTGCGACACGCTTGGAGTCGCTGTGCGCTGGGTGGGTGGTGAGGAATTGATCGTACCTGCTGCGCCAAGCCGCAGACAATTAACTTTCCCAAGCGACCGGGATCTTTCCGGCCCGTTCTGCGGCTGTTCCTGCCGATCGTCGGCGCTAAAATGACAGCGTCTTCGTCTTCGCCTTCGCCTTCGCTGCGCAGTGTTCACCTTGCTTGAGCAGCTGTCGGAGCCAGACACATATGAGACACACATCTGCGCGCCCGCGTAGGCGATCGCCGACGCCGAGCGGGTCAATGTCAGTCCGCCTTCGCGGCCGCGTACAGATGGCGTTGCATCGCGTTGCAGCGTGCAAACGAAATGAATATTGCCATGCACAATCAGCGCACAAAGATCGAAAGAGACCGATGAAGGGGCCCTGCACTTCCCGTTCAATGCAGGCGTGCGGGTCGCTGCTCCACCTCACACGAACGCCCACACCCACGCCCAACGAGAAGTCGGCGCGTGTCGCTGTCGTTTCTGATCGAAGCAGCTGCGTGCAAGGCACCGCCCGGTCCACGACATTCCAGAAACGGTGTGTTGCCGCATATAGCCTGGCCATTGTCGCATCGCTTGGCGAGCTTGGAGCATTCTCTTCGAGTGCTTACGGTACTTGCCCTCGTGAATGTCGAACTAGTCTAGCATGCATCGCATCCTCCCAACGCGCTCCCGCAGCAGGAACAGCACGTGTGCCCGGTGGAGACCTGTGACAGCGGGCATGGGCGTGGACGTGGGCCGTGGGCATGAGCAGGAAGGTACATAGTTCGCTCTTGCTCTCCCTCCTGCACTTTGCTCCCAATTGTCTCTGGCGCGCTTGCTGCGTGGAACTTTGAGCAACAATGCCGCGCCCCGAATCGACGCTGTCGCTGGAGCATGGACCCCGCCTCGGCCACCAGAACCTCTCTCACCTGCAACTGTGGCAGGACACCGTCAACTCAAGACCCAATGCCACTGCCCTCATCGCGAAGCACCAGTCGCCCACCGCATTCACGTGGCTCGGCAGCCAGCACAATGACAAAGACCACGTGCAGTGGACCTACGCCGACCTCGATCGCGGCGCTCGTCGACTGGCCACTGCCCTGAACAGAACCACCCATATCGAAAGGAGGCCGATCGCCGCCCTGATCCACAACCAAGCAGAATGGGCTCTGCTGTACTGGGCCGCCGCCTATCTCCATTCGCCTTTTGTCCCCATTAACCCGAAGACGGCGACGAGGACCGAAGAGATCAATCACATGCTGGACCTGGTTGGCCCGGTGGTGCTCGTCACAGCAAACCTGGACATCGCCAGCCAACTCGAGAATGGCCTTTCGGAGAAGCTGATGTCGTCCATCGCTACACGCATCACCCTATCCCACACTGGACGCGAGACAGCACAGCAATGGACGATGCTTGCACATTTGATGTCCGGCGACCCGACCCCGCCAGACACGCCCGATGTCGTCGCTGCTGATGATACCATGGTCATTTTGTTCACAAGTGGTACCACATCACTTCCGAAGCCCTGTGCCTTGACCAGCTTTCAGTGTCTGAATGCTGCGCTCGGATACATGGACGCTCAGAAAGTCACAAGCAGCCATCGCTTCGTGCAGCATTTACCCGGCTTCCACTCGTATGGCATTGGCTGGTCTTTGGGCTTCTGGCTCCGGGGAGGTGTGGTCATCTTCCCATCAGATTCATTCGAAGCGCAAGCAACACTAGAGTGCTTCGACAGATTCAGAGCAACGCACATGGGCCTGGTCCCGACCACAGCCCAAGCCATCCTAGCGCATCCCTCCTTCTCAAAGACCGACTTGAGCACACTTGTCAGCATTGACATCAGTGGAGCTGGTGTGCTGCCGAGTCTCATTGATGCTTGCGCGTCGACCTTGAAGGTGCCATCCAGCACCAGCTATGGCATGACTGAGAGCCCTGGCACAATGGCGTGGGGAGTCAACGAAGGCTCGGTCCTTCGCGACGGAGAAGTCATGTCTGGACGACCCGTGCGTAACACCCATGTCAAGGTGTGTGAACCAGGGACACGAGAGATCGTGCCTAGAGGCCAGTATGGCGAGCTGCATAATGGTGGCCCGCAAGTCATACCTCACTACATGGACCCAAGAGTATCCAAAGACAATTTCTACGTTGATGAGAATGGCACTAGGTGGATCGTGACTGGTGATCAGGCCATTATGGACCACGATGGCGCAGTGCGGATTTCTGGCCGTTATAAAGACATGATCATTCGCGGCGGAGAGAACATATCTCCGGCCAGTATCGAGGACTATCTCAGCAAGAAGCCAGGCGTATTCCAGGTCCAAGTCGTTGGAGCACCAGATGATATGGCAGGTGAAGTACCAATTGCCGTAATCATTGAGAGCGACGGCCAGCAAGCAAATTTGAGCGAGCTTAAGCACGACACGCAGCGCGATCTGGGACCAGCATTCGCTCCAAAAATGGTCGTTCGTCTGGGTGATCTTGGCTTGAGTGCTTGGCCTACTACCGCTTCTGGCAAGATCCGCAAGGTGGAGCTTGCCAAAGTAGTCAAGGACTTCATCAAAACACAAGCTGAGAAGGGCATCGACAAGTCTGGTTCTGTGGTCGACACTTTGCTCAGCATTTGGAAGTCCATCAGCGGCGCGGACAGCCTTGTTGCAGAGACACCATTAGATGCATTTGCAGACTCACTTATGATGATGCAGCTCTCTGGCACGGTGAAAAAGGAGCTCGGCCGAGATATCACAGTTGAGGACTTCAAGATCTGTGATACAATTGAAGACCAAGCCAAGCTGATCGAGTCGAGGCCACTCAAGAATGCAGGTCCAGTGCAGCCATCGAGAGAAGGGCCACCTTCAATACAGGATATGCCTCATTGTCGAGAGGAGGAAGATGTCTTTTGGGAGACTGTATATGCCGCTGAATGTGTTCTGGCGCCTTATGGACTCAAATGGGACGACGTAGAGGATGTGATGCCTTTGCCAGATTGGGATGCGATTTTCTGCCACCGATCACGTCCGTGCTCGTGGAACCTTCGCTTCAGCTACCATGCTCCAGTAGACGTCAAGAGCCTGGAGCGGGCGATCAAGGCTTCGTTGGAGTTCCATCCAACAATGCGATCGATGGCCATAAAGGTCGACGATGAGCAGCTCCTTGCGACCATTCGGCCCACCGGAGAATGGCTCAAGGCATCAATGACTACCGGATGGGAGGTCGAGACCAAGGAAGACCTCAACACGCTTGCGCTGCACGATCCTGTTTACGACAATGCCAGTGCTCCCGGACCCCTGGTGAAATTCCACGTTGCTAAGATTCGCAGTGATGGCACATCTGGACTGGTTGTAGTTGCATCGCATGCGGTCAACGACATGAGCATGACCAAGTTATGGCTAGAGGATATAGTCACACTCCTTACTGGCGAGGGCAGCGTTGTCCCTCACGCACAGTTCAAGGACTATGCAACCGCCTTCTTTGATCACCGCGACGGCCGTGAAGCTGATAACGGGATCAAATATTGGACTGAAAAGCACCGAGGCATTTCAATGCTCCCAGAATCAACATACTGGCCTCCACAACGCGCAGCGGAATGGTTCAAGGGCGGCGATCTTGGATGGCAGAGATGGGACGGCACAAAGGCACGCAGAGGCGAGCGAGCTGTCCCACAATCCGCTAAGCTCCAAGCCCAAAAAGGCATTCGCCGCCGTGTAGCCGTCGAGGACATCTTCAAGCTGAAAGCCGAGCATAACGTGCCGGTCTTCATGCTCGTCAAAGCCGCCATCGCCATCCTCAACATTTCCAAAACCGGCGGCAAAGAAGCCATCTTCGGCACAATCAACGCCGCCCGAACCTGGCCCTTCGCCTCAGACTACAGCGCCCTCGAACGCGAAGCCTACACCGGCAACCCCCTCGACGTCTCCGGCTGCACAACCGAATACGTCCTCGACCGCATCCCCGTCGGCCAAACAAAATCCATCTTATCTTTCATGCAACAAGTCACCACCGACGAAGAAAAAAACAGCACGTACGCCCACACCCCTTTCTTCCGCGTCCTCGACCGTCTCCGTGACCCACTTTCCTCCGACGACACGCGCACTTTCTCCGAACGTGAGCGCGACGCAGCCTCTATCCTTCCACTTATCAGAAGACAAAGTTTCAATTGGCTCCCCACAGCCCCCACCGCGCAAAATTCTCGAGGCCTCCAGTTTCAGGAAATGTTGACGCGGATGGATAATGGGTTGACGATTACGGGTTTCCTTCTCGAGGATAAGAGGAGTGTGGCGTTGAGTTTTAGTTGGGATGCGGAACATCTGAGTTTTGGCGAGGCGGAGAAGGCGCTTGGGGAGTTGGTGGATTTTGTGGAGGTTATGGGGAAAGAGGAGAATTGGGGGAGGGGGGTTGGGGAGGTTTTGAGGGATGTGAGGTGAGATGGGGAGGGGGAGGGGGACGGAGAGGCCATCACCAATGGTGGGTGATCTAATTTTCTGATCTTTTTGGATGGGGATGGGGGTTAATGAAAGGAAGGTCAGATACGACAGGACAAGATGGATCTGGGATTTGGGATTTGGGATATATACTGAAGGAAGGCTGGAAAGCCAGAAGGGTTAGAATGGACATGGATACGTACATATGTTATCATTATCAATTTCTCTATTCGTTGAGGGAACGGCATCTGCATCATATGCTAGCCACCACATGAATACGATCCTTGGCTTCCCGGGAAACTCAAGAATCGCATGCGAGGCGTATTTGGAGGAGCCTGACCTAACCATCGAACACGCGCTTGAAATCTGGTTGTAGTCCTGTATATCTAGATCTGTGCGAGATTAGTATGCCCATAGTCAGATGCTCTGTTCTCCAATCCACCATTGGCTTCCAGGACGCCTCCGGAACGTGGTCTACGACTTTCGTTACGTAGCTCAGATTTTCCAAGTCGCGGAGCTTGCCATTAGATGCTGCAGGCCTAGTATACTGTTTCTGTGTTCTCCTCGGCATTCGTGATTGCGTGTCTCGAGTGAGGCGGGCGATGAGAAGGAGGTCGAGATAAAAATATATAAGGGCGGGAAGCGCACTAGGTAGCCGAGACCCTGAATAATAAATAATGTGGAGACCTTGCATCAGCAACGACCAGGGAGCGTGTTACCAGCAAGACTCGGGATATCCTGACCAAACGACATGCGAGCCATTTCATGCGGACCAGCGCTGCTTATCGGAGGCGAACTTCTAAGATAGCATCCTCTGGGACTCCTTGGGCGTTTCAATCTTGCAACGCCTATCGAGCAGCGCATATCGATCTCGCAACGTCACACGACCACGACCCTGGATGAGCCGGATGGTATGGACACACAAAAGTCACATTCGCGCAGAAGAAGCGGGAGTGCTGCCTTAGCGAACTCGACTTCCGGCGCACCGCCGCACACGCAGGAGGAAGGGAAATCAGCATCGGAATCAGACCAGTCCACAGACATGGAGATGTCGTCCATTCACTCCTCAGACGCAGAGGACCTGACAGAAGACGAAGAGACCGGTCTCACAGAAACAGAGCGCAAGAAGCGGCGGCGGCGGAAGAGACAAGATGCAGAACCAGCGAATCGAATAGCAGGAGACACGAATCTCCAAGCAGCAGAAGAGAAGGGCATCGCAAAAGCAACAATGATCCGAAGACTGGCGATCAATGGACTATTGATCGGACTATGGTACAGCTTTTCGATATCCATTTCCGTCTACAACAAATGGATGTTCAGTGCCGACATGCTGGACTTCCATTTCCCACTCTTCACGACGAGTTTACACATGCTCGTGCAATTCTCTCTGTCATCAGCAGTCATATTCTTCCTTCCGCAATTCCGACCGGGACGAGATGGAACGAAAATCAAAAAGGATACACACGAATACCAACGAGTTGGCGACGAATCACAACAACACCACCAACAACAACAACAGCCACCAGAAGACCCCGCGACCAAGAAACCTTTGATGACCAAATCCTTCTACCTAACCCGAATAACCCCCTGCGGAACCGCCACAGCCCTGGACATCGGCCTAGGAAACTTCTCGCTGCGGTTCATATCCCTAACATTCTTCACAATGTGCAAATCCTCCGTCCTAGCCTTCGTCCTCCTCTTCGCCTTCATTTTCCGCCTGGAATCCCCAACCTGGAAACTCTGCGCCGTAATCCTCTCCATGACCATCGGCGTAATCCTGATGGTATCCGGCGAAGCAACCTTCAACGCCCTAGGCTTCATCCTCGTCATGACCGCCTCCCTCTGCTCCGGTCTCCGCTGGTCCCTAACCCAAATCCTCCTCCTCCGAAACCCCGCAACCTCCAACCCATTCTCCACAATCTTCTTCCTCACACCAAGCATGTTCCTCATCCTCTTCCTCCTGGCACTCCCCATCGAAGGAGTCCCCGCCGTCCTCACGGGAATTCGCAACCTATCCGCAGACCACAACCCTTTCCTCGCAACCCTCATCCTCCTCTTCCCCGGCTGTCTCGCATTCCTCATGGTATCAGCAGAATTCGCGCTCCTGAAACGCACGTCCGTCGTCACGCTGTCCGTATGCGGGATTTTTAAAGAAGTCCTCACGATTTCTGCCGCTTCGATGACGTTTGGGGATGAATTGTCGCCGATCAATGTGAGCGGATTGGTGGTGACGATTGCGAGCATTGCGGCGTATAATTGGCTGAAATACAGTAAGATGCGGAAGGAGGCGAAGAGGGAGGCGCATGAGATTTTGGAGGCGGAGAGGTTTGGTGTTGAGGGGAGGGCGGAGAGGAGGGGTTTGGATGAGGAGGATGAGGATGAGGCGTTTGCTATTGGGAGGGATAGTACGAGTACGACTGGAAGATTGACGAGGGATTCACTGAATTTGGCGACGAATCTGGACTCTGCTGGGACAGGAGCTTCTAGCGATGGTCTGCATAATGGTGGGCTGGTGCATAGTGCCTTGAAGAGTCCGACAAAGAGACCCGAGGATTTACAATGATTGGGAAAATGGTAATGTACGAATGGATCTATGTTCTGAACTGTCTACAAAGAGCTTCATGTCTCTGCCCTACCTTGATCTGATATCGCGCATGTCTTATGTCACGCGCTTCATGGCTGGAGTAGGAGAAAGTGGTACACGTTGCAAGAGTTCTTACCTTCTCTCAAGCTGCTTGAAGTCAGTAGAATGGAATGAAGAGAACCCTGTGGTCAGTGTAATCTGATCGTAGTCCTGGCAAAATCGACGTCGAACGCGAGATGGACGACTCGGCTCGTTCGAAGACGCGGAACTGATGTTAAGTAGGGCGGCGAAGGACGGGGACACGAGGTGCTGGATGGGGCAGGTTTGGTGGCCGTGATTTCATAATCCGATCGGAGACGAGGACGGGGGATGAGACGAACGAACGAACGCTGGGCGTCGAGGGAGGGAGACGTCGAAGGAGGTCAGTTCAAGACGGTCGATCCGCTTCGTGGGCTTGATTTTTTCGGGCCGTTACTATTTCCTGTCTTGTGAAGCTGTCCCTTCCATGCCAAATGGTCAATGTTACACTTTACCACGATCCCATGGCGCTTTTTCTTTTTGTGTCATGTCGTCCACGCTCGTCGATGTCGCTCTCGAAGATGTTGGCTTACTAGACCGAGTCTTTCATGCGAACGTCGAGAGCTACAGACGTGTCAGCTTACTCCGCCGTATCCAGGTCATCATGAGCTGGCGGAGCTTCTTCACGCTCTGCCGTGTCGGAACCATCAGCACCAATTCTGGAACTTGCCCGAAATGGAAGAGCATACGAACCTTTGCGTTCTTCGCCGTTGGTACCGTTCTGCTCGTACTCACGCTCACGCTCTCTGTCGCCAGTGCGCTCTTCGCGATCCTCTTCACGATCACGCTCCTTTAAATCACGCTCCCGGTCGCCACGGTCTCTATCCGCACCACGGTCGCGGTCCTCTGGGCTTCGAGTACGTTCGCGATCGCGGCGGTCTCGGTCATCGCGGCGTGAGCCACGGTCGTAGTCGCGGTCGCGATCGTCATCGTAGCGACGGCTGCGTGGTGGAGAGCCAGAGCGGCCACGACGGGGAGAGCGCTCGCGACGGCTGCCTCCTCCACGTCCGCCATCACGTCCATCGCGGTTGGAGCCCTGGTCGAAGCGCCAGCTTGCGGAAGGTGGTGTGCGTGCCCACTAGAAATATGTTAGAGTGAAGTGCATTGAACCAGGTTCGTGTGAAATCACCTCAATCTTCAAAAGGTCATCACGACCGATTCGCTTGTTGTGCATCTCGTAGTAAGCGTCGTCTGCATCGCGAATCTTCTCGTACTCAACGAAAGCGAAGCTATGATGCATTAGCCAGTACTTCTCGCATCTAGGGAGATGTAGCTTACAGTCTGGAGCTCGCGGTTCGTGGTGCAGGGATATCGCAACGGACGAGACGTCCGTACCTAGAATCTTGTCAGTGGCGGACTTTCTTTGACATCTCTGTTCGTTCTCAGCTCGAATCTGAGGGAAAGCGCTTTCAACGTCCAGCGCATGGTCAATGCGATGAGCCGCTGAGCGCGATATCGACGAGGATGATTTGTGACAGCAGGGAGTGTCGCTCGGACTGCTCTCCAAGCAGGATGATCGCTGTAGGAAGGTGGACATACCGCTCGAACTCGTAGGCAAGGTCGCGGGCGCGAGTGCCGTGGCCGAAGCCAGTGACATAAAGAGTGGTTCCGCCGCCTCGAGACATGTTGCTGTGCTGATGCGATGGGTTCGGTGGTGAAGTAAGGAGTGGATGTCGACGGCGAGCTTTGAAGTCTGAACACACGGAGTTGGCCCGAGATTGATTGATGCTTGGCATAGAAAGCCTCAGGTTACAAGTGCGGACTCCCGAGCGGCGAGCGCTCCTTCCTGGTCGATGAGATGGATTTCTCGACTGCACGCGACCAGCATTCACATCGCCATTGCACATACAATGAGCCAGCGCGCATTCTCGCTGCCGTTACGGACAATTGTTACAAAAGCTGTGAAACCTCAATGGATCTGTCGACGATGTCTTGCAACACAGCAGTCCAGCTCGATTCCTAGCGAAAAGTACTCCAAAGGGCGAACGTCAGAGCTATTATCGACACAGCTCCCACAAAAGCACTTACCGCCGCAAGTCTTAGCACACGTCAATGCTGAATCATTACCGATCAACGAGCAGGAGCAATGGGAGAGAGTGGAGCCGCACAAGAAGATTGTTGGAGTGGTAGTGAGCCATGGCAAGATGGAGAAAACTGTGAGAGTGAGAGTGGCAGCTCAAAGATGGAATGAGCGGATAAAGAAGGTACAGCTCTGGTGGATTGATACGATATGATATGTGACTGACATTGACAGCACTACCGCCATGACATAAACCATCTCGTCCACGATCCCAATGATTCATTGACGACCGGCGATGTGGTGGAACTCCATCGCCTCAAAGTCAGCAAGCAGGTCGAGCACGTCGTTGCGAGGATAATTTCACCATTTGGCAAACCAGTAGAAGAGCGACCTCCAGTGCCGACTCCTGAGGAACGTTTAGCAGAGTACAAGGCGAAACGGATGGTCAAATTAAGAAGACGAGAACTGCGCATACGAGCTGGCGAGGGCGATGCGGAAGCCATACAGAAATTGAAGGAGATGGGTCACGACCCGGGCGCTGGTGCGAAGCCTGGCGTAGGCAGGCAAGATAACTTACAACAAAATGTGGGCAAGTCGCGGACACCAAGCAGTGGGGCGATACTTGGCAGCCAGGGTCAGAAACTACCCGAAGGTGTGTTGCCGGGTGGGAAGGAAAAAGTTGGCAAAACAAATGAGCGAGCTCAGCGCAACAAGGGCAAGGCTGTGAAGTCGGACGCAAAATTCCAGGAGCGGAGACGAGAAGCACAGGAGAAGGACCAGTAGCTGGCAAAAGAAAGTCTTGGATCAGCCTCCGTTTTGGGATGAGCATATGGCAGCCTGCACGAGGGGCGGTCCTGTACAAATATATGAATGTTAACATACGGCATCCAGCATTGGTCTATGCTGGGATTACGGACTGGTCTGTCACAAGGTCGAGGCGACCTGGATTCTGAGCTAGTCTTTTCCGAAGAGAACTCAAATCAGACACCAGTTGCCCTTCTCAAAGCTGAATGGTGTTGTCAGAGAGGGATGCTGTGTTGATTAAGGCATTCAATGGCCAACCAAGCATACAGTGGTCGGCAGGCTTAGTTCTTTGAACTTGACCTAGTATCTGTCGGCAGTCCGCCTCTCTCTTACATCTTGTCAATGAAGTCTCGAGAACGGCCGGCATAGGCTGGTGACATACTCATGTCGATACTTGAGATTGATATTTTGATATTTTGATATTCTGATATTGATATAAGGTAAGTTTTGCTGGCAACTCTCACGTGCAAAGGCGATCAGGCGCGACCCCTGCTTGAACTCTAATCTTTGCGCGACGCGACTTCCAGCTGAAGACAACACCTCCATCGACTCTCTTCAATGGCTTGTTTTTTGACCCAAACTGATCACTTTCAAGATTATTTCACTGTCCCCCGACAAGATTGACGCCGCGATCATGGCATCGTTTGCAGAAGACGAAGACTTTGGCCTTTCCTCTTCAGACGAGGCGGACTTGCTCCTGATCGACGAGAACACCAACCCACTCAAGCGGAAAGCTGCATCCAAGACCAGTCTTGCACCAGTGAAAAAACAATCCACTCGACCAGCATCAGAAGCTGCAATTACCATCGCCAACAAAATACTCAGAGAACGATTCGGCATTCCAAGCTTTCGATTGAAGCAAGAAGCTGCCATCACACGCGTACTGGATGGCAATTCTAGTGTAGTCGTCTTTCCTACTGGTGGTGGCAAATCGCTGTGCTATCAAGTCCCGGCACTATGCTTCAAAGAATTGGATCGAATGTCTGGGGTACGACAAGGCCATGCAGAAAGCGGAATCACTCTTGTCGTCTCGCCCTTGCTGGCCTTGATGAAGGACCAGGTCGATGCCTTAAAACGCAAGGGTATCAATGCGGCATCTCTGGATTCGACCAAGTCGAAGCAGGAGTACTTTGAAGTTGTCGATGCCATGCGAAATGGAACGCTCGACATTCTGTACTGTGCCCCGGAACGCCTCAATAACGAAGGATTCGTTGCTTCCATGGCGAATGTGAAAGGTGGCGTACGACTTCTCGCTGTGGACGAAGCTCACTGTATCTCCGAATGGGGACATGCGTTTCGACCTGATTACCTCAAGGTAGCTCGATTCTACAGAGAGATTAGAGCTGAGAGGGTTCTTTGCCTGACTGCTACGGCTACTCCTCAAGTCGCCCAAGTAAGTCATTCCCGCAATACCCCTGCTCGAGCAACCAGCTGACTTTCTATTAGGACGTATGCAACGCATTTGACATCTCAAATGATGGACTCTTCCGAACATCGACATACCGACCTAATCTGAAACTACGCGCAGAATCATACCAAATCAAAAAGGACTCCTATCCGAAGCTCATCAGATTCCTCAAAGGACATCCTGGTCCCACTATCATCTACGTGACGCTGCAGAAACATACTGAGGAGCTGGCTGACCGCCTCCGCAAAGCTGATTTCAATGTGCGCCATTTCCACGCCGGCATGAAGCCAGAGGAAAAGTTCAAAGTGCAAGATGACTTCATGAAATCTAAGGATATGATCATCTGTGCGACGATTGCTTTCGGTATGGGCATCGACAAGTCTGATATTCGCAATGTCGTCCATTACGACATACCCAGAAGCCTCGAGGGCTACAGCCAGGAAATCGGCAGAGCTGGTCGAGATGGCCTCGAGAGTCATTGCATGCTGTACCTTTGCGCCGAGGATCTCCACTTGCGTGAAAGTTTTGCAAGAGGCGATTTGCCCTCCAAGCGCTCGGTACAGAGCTTGATGAAGGAGGTTTTCGCCCTCAAAGCGTCTAATGATCCACTACCGGTGGTGGAGGCAAGTCTCTATGCGCAGGCCAAGGAACACGACATCAAGATGACCACTCTGGGGAGCATCTATGCTCAGCTGGAATTGCGATTCAATCTGCTTCGAGCTACGACGCCGAAATATACACAGTACAAGTACCTGGTCCTGGCCTTCACCGATGGCGATAGAACGCCTGCAGCAAATGCTCTTCGAAAGGAAGCAGTCAAGACCGCCAAGGCGAAATTCACTTATGTCGATGTAGAAGCCGCTGCTCGTAATAGTGGCTTACCTCGTGTCGACCTCGTCTCCAAACTCAACGAGTGGCACGATCGCGGCCTCATCGACTTGCAGACCAGTCAGGTCGTCAATGTCTTCCGAGTGATGCAAGGTACCTGGCCACCACCACCAGGAGAGAGACAACGCATCATCGACTCTCTGCATCATGAGCTAGAGCTTCGAGAACAACAAGAGCTGGCACGGATGAAACAAGTCATGGACCTTATCACAGGTGAGAGCTGTTTCGCGCGCACTCTTGCCGCCCATTTTGGAGACAAGCTGCCTTATGGGAAATCGGAGTGCGGCCACTGCACCTGGTGTCAGAATCACATCGCCATTCATGCCGTGAAGCCGCCACAACGCGAATGGAACTCCCAGGCCTTCTTCAAGATTCTGGAAGCCTGCCCTGATAGAGATGATCCGCGCTACCTCGCACGCATAGCTTTTGGCATCGGCAGCCCTCGAATCACAGCGGCGAAATTATCGCATAGTCCTGTCTTTGGATCAATGGAAGATCACGACTTTATGGTAAGTCATTGATACACATATCTCAAGACCAAGCTGACGATTGTGCAGAAACTGCTGTCTGCCTTCGAGAAGATATGTGACAAGTGAGTGGGATCTTTGGTAGATTATCGATCATTCATCTCTGCTGACTTACGAAAGGACAACACAGCAGTACTCCGGGTCCAGGCCTGCCTGGTCCGATGAACAAGCGGGAATGCTCTTATCGCGTCAGTTACCGCCGCCATCGCAGCGCTCTAGCTCGTCAAGCTTCAAGAGATCTACGAGCTATAACGGCTCATCCTCCTCTCGAAAGCAGCCTCTGTCTCGATCAAGCAGTTTCAGAGGACGAGTCCGCAAGTTTTAGGATTCGCGGGCCGCATACTTGAACGCCTGGCTCGAGAAGATTTGGCGAACGACTTCTTTGGGAATTTTGTATCAAAATTGCATCACCGTAAGAGGGATGGGCTAATGGTGAGAGGAATGTAATATTGAGAGACACCTTGTATACTTCTAAACCGCGATAGGGTATATTTCGACCACTTTATTGACAAGTTCACGATGTCCGAGCATATTTCTGAATTAAATGGCACGGCTAGGTACTCCTCAAGTGACGTCGTTGGCCCTTTCCCTTTCTCGCATAGAGCATTTGTGGTTGAGAAGGACCAGAGCGCAGTTCAGGAAAGAACATGTTGGCAGAATCTCGGGGATCGGGCCTTGGCATGCAATCACAGTGACGCGCCTCTCCGCGCATCCTGTTATTTCTAACATCAAACATCCGAAGTTTTGATGAATTGTTCTTCAATGGCTACACTTTAATGTGTCTTCCCTCTTTGATCTGAAGTCTTACATTAAACACACCGACCTAGTTCTTCTCGGCGACATCTGTGATCATTTCGACATCATCAACGGGCTTAGTGTCGTGAACAATGACGCTCATCTGCCTGTGCGCCTCTTCAGACTTTGCAAACAAGCGATCCACGTCTTCGAGAGCGAGACCCTTGGTCTCGGGGAAGAAGAAGTATATGATCGGTACCCAAGTGGCGTTGAGGACTGCGAAGATGATGTACGTCCGGTAGCCGATGTTCCTGATAGCTGGCGGAGTGATGTACACGATCATAAAGTTCTAAAAAGGGTCAGCTAATGTTTGGGGACATGGAAGAATGACTTGAACTTACGCAGATCCAGTTGCTCGCCGTGGAAATGGACGAGCCTCGCTGACGCAGCTTCAACGGCAGAATCTCCGAAGGATATACCCAGACAGTGGCCTGGAAGCCAATCGTGAAAGCTCCCTGGAAGATGAAAAGCATTGCTGCTGCACCTGCTCCGCAAGCATCAGCAATGGATGTCTTGTTCTCAACATTCCAAATCAGCCCGGTCTGGACGACCATGACAGCAGCCATCAGGGAAATCATTGACAAGAAAAGCGGCCTTCTTCCAACACGGTCAATCAAGAACCATGGAATGAAGGACGCAATGAAGAACCACGTGTTCAAAAATCCGGACATGAGAGCTGACAAGTTACTGTCAAATCCCAAGCTCTTCTGAAACAGCGTGTTGCTGTAGTAGATCAGAGCGTTGATGCCACCCAGCTGCTGGAAAATTTGCACCGCGCATGCAATCAGGAATCGGCGAGTAGACTGGATGTCATCACTCTTGAGTAAGTCCTTCCAGGTACCAGCACCAATAGATGCCTCGTATGCAACAGTGTTGGTGATATCCGCGTGCATCCTCTCGATGGCCGCGTCACTCATCTTCTTCTTGTTCAGTCGCCTGAGCACATCAAGAGCTTCATCCCCGCGATGATGCGAGATCAGCCACCGAGGAGTCTCCGGGATGATCATGATGATGAACAGCATGGGAATCAAGAAGATGCACTGGAGAATGACCGGGACGCGCCAGGAATAACTTGGACCTCCTGCAATCTTGCCGAAAGCGTAGTCAATCCAGTACACCAGCATGATACCGAAATTAAGAGTCGAGAGCTGCGCGCAGACGTAGATACCTCTGGTGGCCTTCGGTGCGAACTCGGCCATGAGCACTGGTACAGTCGAGTTGATGAACCCCATGCCGACACCGGCCACAATGCGAGCAACGATCATGTGCGCGATAGTGTACGCCGTGGCTTGGAGCAGAGCGCCGATAATCATGATTACGACACCGATGAAGATGCTGCGTCGACGACCGAGATTTTCACCAATGAAGCCGGTGATGATGGCGCCCTTTGAGAAGCATCAGTATTGCACCCCGCCTCGATATACTAAGAGGGACTTACAAAAAAGCAGCCGACTTCGTAAATTGCGACGATCAATGCCACCATGTCCGTACCATAGTCCGAATCGGTATCGAGGTTGAATGTGCCATCGAACGAGGGCGCATTGACCAGACCACCCATAAGACCATTGTCGTAGCCGATCAGCAGGAATCCCAGGCATGCTAGCAGAGTGACCGTGTAGAGGAGCGTGTTGCCCTCGAGTTGGACCATCTTGGTAGATGCAGCCAAAATGCTGATGGATGAGTCCGGACACTGTCAAGGAGAAAGAAGTAGTGATGTCGCTTCGTGTCTCGAGGACTCGGTCTCCGTATCCAATAATATCGTAAATGGAACCCGGTCTAGATCGAAAGGCTAAGCTTTATGCAGGTCGTTGCAGTACTGTGCCAAGCTTTGGTTCCAACGCTTGACGTTCGACTCAATAGGAACAACCACTCCTTCGTCTGAGAAGGAATGAGTCTCTCCAGGTTTGGATTCCCCAAATTTTGGGGCACCACGTTTATGTGTACCGTCCCGTCAGATTAGCAAGAGCAGGGATATCTCCATAGCTCCCTATCCCTGGTGGGTCTAGAAACGCTCTCAAGCTTCGGCGCTGGGATGCACGGGGAGTGACGGCGATTGCGTTGCTAACGTTTTGTAGAATACGCCTATTGTGCTCGAAAGCCATAACAATAGTCATAAACCGGTAGCGGCAAGAGGTCGAAGACTATTGCTTGTCATGGCGTTGCCGGCAAATTGTAAGGTGTGTATTGGTTTGAAGGTCTCAGGCCTTGCATTTTCGCTGACGACGAGAAGCGCATCTCTATCAAACAGAAGTGCCATGTCCAAGAGGCCAGAGCTTTGAAGGACTTCCAGGAGCCTCACTTCACTATCTACGAAGATGCATTCCTGGAAGTGCTCGGCAGCGCTCCGAGCATAGAGCTTGGAGTCCAGAAGGACTGGCCGTTTGCTCACGAAGCTGGAGTCTACTTTCCCGACCAGGACGCGATATACATCACCAGCAACACATTGCCATCGCCTTCTGGTAAGACGATAAAAATAGGCAAACTTACCAGGACAGAAGGCAAATGGCAATACGAGGAGATCCAGACCGATGTAGTTATGGGTAACGGCGGAATCAACTACGAAGGCGGAGTGCTCTTCTGCGATCAAGGTCACATGGATACGCCAGGTGGTTTGGTCCTCATGGAAGCCAGTCCACCATATTCAACTCGAACGCTCATCTCTTCATATCACTGGCGGCAATTCTCCAGCGTGAACGACGTGGTGATTCATACCGATGGATCTATTTGGTTCACCGACCCGATCTATGGCCACGAACAGGGATTCCGACCCGAACCTCAGTTGCCGTCACAGGTGTACAGGTTCGATCCAGCGTCTGGAGACATTCGAGCTGTTGCCGATGGCTTCGGCCGCCCTAACGGCCTTTGCTTCTCGCCGGATGAGAAGACGATGTACGTGACCGATACAGATTGGATTCACGGCGACGGCACAACAGACCTGACCAGGGTCTCTCACATGTAAGTTCTCGATCCCCATGCATTCTCCACGTGTGTTCCCCCGCACTTCCGCTGAACTCTGCTATAGATATGGCTTCGATGTGATTGAGCGACATGGGTCTCAATTCCTGGCGAACAGGAGGCTGTTTGCCATGTGTGATGAAGGTGAGACTGTCCAGATGCCGATGAGTCGATGGCGTCATAGACTGACACTAGCTATTACGCTAGGCATTCCAGATGGCATCAAGTGCGATGTGCAAGGTAACGTGTACAGCGGTTGTGGTGATGGACTGCACGTCTGGACAGCAGGTAAGTTGCCGCATGGAAAAGCTTGTGCCGATGTCTTATTTGCTGACTGCCGGGAAGGTGGGAAACTCATTGGCAAAGTGAAGGTTCCAGGCGGCTGTGCCAATTTCTGCTTCCTTCGTGATGGGGAAATCGCTCTGTTGAATGAGGAGAAATTCTGGATTGCCAAAGTGGCATCTCATGTTGAGGGCGCTTTGCTGAAGAATATGAAGATCACGTAGTCGTCAATCAAAAAGGCTCATGGTCAGATCTGTGCGAAAGTGAGGCTGGAAGCTTCGCGGCAATACGCTGTATGGACGCTCGGGGATATGTTTGTTGGAGCATTATTCGCCGCCAGTTCGCGCTGCCTGCTGAGTTTCATCCCCATGCCCCGCACCCCGTGGCTTTCTCCGAAGCGACAAAGTCTTGGCAGCTCCACCTCCCATTGCTTAATCAATATCAGAAGCACAACACCGGCCATTTCTCTCATCTCCAATTGCCCTCCCTCTCTAGCCGAGGATGCTGATGGTCGGCATTGCGTGGGCTGAGATGAGACACATGCTCGCGCGGTCGGAAATTAGAGTTCGAGGCCAGCGAGCGATGTGGTTGGAGCGGCTCGATGTGCGCGGGGCAAGCCACGTGCTCCAGCGCGTGCACAACGACCACACCCCCGGCCGTTCACCGTTCATCCCCGTTCGCCCACGCCCGCCTCCACATATTGTTGACTGTCGGCGATGACCTTCGTTTCAGCACTGCGTTGCGTCTTTGATAATAACCTCAGGAGGCGGCACGGCAAACGGCGGCCAGCAGAACACCCACCAACACCGCTCCACTCTGTCGTCTCACGAACTCACTATGGAGAATGGAGGCGGGGGCGGAGGCGAAGGCTATCGCGCCGACGAGAGATCCACCTCACCTGAGAGTCCGGGTGGCAAGCCTGCAGCCAAGCAGCACAAATCTGAGCGAGTGAGTAGCAATCGAAGATGCAATGCATAGCTGACAGCAGTGCTCCAGGAGAAAAGAACATACAGGGCCTGCCTGCACTGCAGACAGCGAAAATCGCGCTGCGATCTGTAAGTATCCAGAGAGCTTCACGATGCTTGGAAGCCCGCCTACAGCCGGCGCCGCTGCCGTTCTGCGCATCATCCACCCTCGGGAAACTGGCGGCGTCTGCTCATATGACACCATGCGACGTGGCTTCAGAAGCTGACAGTCAATCGCAGCTATTCGTCTGGCGAACCAGGCCGACCGCCGTTGGTGTCTCTGCACTGCTAAATAACACGTCCCAGCACTGATCATCTGTGTTGCATAGGTGCGAAAGATGCATTCGTGAACAGCATGGTGAGAATGCAACATTTTCTCGCGGAAGAACGAATAGATCTGACTTCTCCAGAATGCGTTCTTGGTGGCTCCCGTCGTGGTGGCAGAAGAGTCAAGCGCAGCGATTCCAACGCCGCTAATCCCCACAACCCTACCACTGGCCAAGCCGTACCAAGCATCGACACTGTAATCCGACCACCTGTCGGCTTGCAGCCACCTCGAAACGATCAACATGATCTGGGTTCTCGTCAACAGCGCTTGCCGAGCTGGAGCTCTCTAAACCCGGATTCGAGGACGCTCCCGCCTCTATCCAACGATGGAGCTATCACGCCTACGGCAAAGATGACGGTCGATGACACAGTTGCCTCCACTGACTTGCAAAACCCTGCGGATGCTCTGGAATTCTTAGCGCATGTTGCCGAGCGAGATTCCGGTAGCAATCAACTGCCACCCATGCATAGTGCTGTGTACGGAAGATCACCGCATCAACCGCCTAGTGCAACCAACACAGTGAACGATCCGCGATCTGTGAGTGCATCGACACCGAGCAATGTCGTCGACTATCCGCCTCTTGCTCAAGGCAAGCTCAATCTTGATATGATACACGCTCTTCTCTATCGGTGCGTCTTACATATGAAGGTGCTATTCGCCTAGAATCGTGCTGACATCCTACCAGATATGAAGAGAAGTATCATCCGTTCTTTCCTCTCGCCAATCCGGCGGCCATGGAGCCGACCAATCTGGCTACCATTGCCGCAAAAGAGCCTCATCTGCTTGCCGCCATCCTGACAGTCGCGTCGAAGGATGAAAAAGACTGGTGGCAGGTTCATGATGACTGCTCTTCGCACATGCAAACCCTGGTAGGCAGTCTTGCTTATACTGGCGCTGCGTCCGTTGAAGCAGTAGAAGCCATGCTCATCTTGGCTGAGTGGGTTCCTCGCCGGCCTCATTCAACGCCAGCCATTGGTCGCGGCGAGGAAGATCAGGCAGCATGGATGTATGTTGGGACCGCAATTCGACTGGGCTATCTGCTAGGCATCGACAGAACTGGTTTCAGAGCAGAAAGCGAATCACAGACTGCGGATCTGAACCGCAAACGTCTGGCCTGGGCAAGCTGCTATATGAGTGACCGCCAAATCTCGGTCCGAATAGGAAAGGCATTTTGGTCAAGAGGTCCTGGTCCAATGACGGCGCTGCGGGCGCAAGACTTTCCCAGTCTCTATCCTCGACTGCACCGGCAGGACGACTTTGCCGCCATATTTCAGGCCAATCTGGAGCTGACGCAACTCTTCAGCAATGCGCATGATGTGCTCTACGCGACCAAGAGCAGGTCGAATCAGCTCAACTACGGCGGCGAATATGTCAAGTATATCGACGACTTCCGGGTAGCGTTACGGCACTGGAACGAATCGTGGGGAGTCTTCACATGCTCGCCTCCGCTAAAGGCCAGCCTGATACTGTCCTACGAGTATCTCCGGTTATACGTGAACGCCTTCGCATATCAAGCTACCCTCAACCGGCTGATACAGAAGATGAAAGATGCGATGGACAGCGGTCAACAGTCTCGACCAATCGCATATCCTTTCGCAGACGTCGCTGCAACTCCAGATGCGCGCTTTGTCTACGACGCCATAGATGCTGGGAAAGCACTGCTCAGCACTTTCTGCAGCTTCGTGGATCCACAGGAGACCTTCCGCTATATGCCGATGCGCTACTATCTCTACGTCATCTACTCCGCCGTGTTCTTGTACAAGGCTCGATCAACAGGAGTCATGGCTGGTGATACTCGAGGATCGGTCAAAAGATTGATCAGCGACACCATGGACAACCTTCAGAAGTCGAGTGCTTGCCCCAACGATGTGGGAGACCGATATTCGCGGCTTATAAGACTTCTTTGGAGAAAACCGCCAGGACGAGGAAGCATTGCAGATCCAAACGATATCACTCGCCCTTCAACGACAACACAGAACGGCGGCCCTGGTGTCCCATCAAGGACGTCAGATCCTCAGCAGCCAATGGACATAGCACCGCTTTCGATCAATCAATTCAGTTGGCTTGATCTGGGTGCTGTTGGCGACTTCGCTGTCGAGAACAACAATTCCATTGCAGGCAGCATGGTCGATAACTTCGACCTTGATTCCAATTCTGCTGATGGATTCTCGCAATTCGACCCGAGTATGATTGTATCACCCAATCAGTTCGCCGCTTGGAATGGTTTGTCTCCTTCCGGAATCATCTTTTGAGACATGGGGAACTGGAAATGTTAGCAGCAGGTCTTGAAGTATGATAGTCGTCCCAAGCGATGAATGTAAGATACATCAGAGTAGACGGATGTAAAAAGTGCTGTGCGAAAAGCCGCGCTTGGGTATTCGATGATGTGAAAATTTAATTCTTAGTGTATACTGTATAAGTTCTGCACAGGATGCGATGCTGCAGGTCATACTGCTTGTATACTGCGAGAGACTACCTTTCGCACGTGACTTGTAGTGTACGTCGCTGTTCGGCCGTATGCTATATATGATAAGAAAAAGCTGAATCATCCCAGAACAGCTATGCAAAATCAGTTCGTTAAAGTGGGATGCGCCTCTGTACCTACCTACTATTGCGTTGTTGTAATGGAAGCAGCGGGAGGTCAGCTCGTCTCTGGAGGTGCCTGTCGGATCGAATTGAATTCAATTTCCGTTCCAGTTTCTGGATTGGAGTCGTTGTCAAGCATCCTGTCACGGAACAAGGAAGGAACAGCCTAGGGCTAGCTGACTAATTAAAGGAACGGGTACCTCCTGTAATTAACCTTCCTCTTCTATATAATTATAAATTATAACAACTTGTATAATAACTAGTAGCTTCGCTTAAACTAAATCCTCGCGCTACTAGGAGTTATCTAACTATAAGAATCTAAGTAAGTAAAGTCTCCTATCCTGCCTTAGTAATCCTATATAATAGTTATATAAAATTATTATATATACTATAATACTATTCTGCTAGCGTAAAGCCTACTTAGCGTATATATAGAGAAGCTCGGTCGCTCGTATAGATTTACTTAGTAGCTAGCTTAGTAGATATACTACTAGCCGGGCGAGCTTAGTTTATAGTAAATACTCTACCCTATTCTTAGAAAGATACGGTTTAGTTCTACTATCTACTACTATAATTAGTAGAGAGTGTTCTTAGTTCTGTACGTTACTATAGATATATTTTCTTATAGTTCTAAACTGTCTACTACTTTTACTACTATAATTTCTACTAAAGAGTCTCTAGTATAGCCTACTAACTATCTATCTTAATACTTCGAGGTTACTTAGAAGTTAGAATATTAATTATTATTTACTAGTATTAACTTATTAGGAAAAGATCTTTCGCTATATATATTTCGTGTTAGGGCTAAAGAGGCTATATGTAATTAGTATATAACTAGGTCGAGTAAAGCTAGGGTCTTAGTGCCTTAGGCAGGGCTTAGCGCTTAGCGTTAGGCTAACTAGCCTACCTTCCTCCCTCTCCTCCTAGCTCTCTATCGAATACTACCTATACCTACTACTACCCTATCTACCTACTAATATAACCCTTCTTATATAGTATTCGATCTACCCTTTAAGGGTAGTAGCTAGATAGTTCTTATTTTAAGCTTTCAGTAATACAGCTACAAAAACTATTAATTTAACTATATTACGCCCGAAGAATAGAACCTATACGTACTATTCTACTAAAAACAACCGTACTAATTATTAAGCAAGGCCTTCTATACGGCCTATTATACTAAGTTAATCGTACTAGGCCGATACCTACTAATTCCGCTATATCCGCACTATAAGAGGCTATAATATATTATTAGTACTACCCCTTATTATAATAGCTGGCTTATTACGAAGTAACAATAACCGCGGCGCCGCTAGCAGCGCTAGTAATAACAACACTAGTAGTATAGTGCCTACTAAAGTGCCCGCTAAAGGGCCTACTAAAGAACCTATAATTCTAGGTAATAATCTA